CACAAAGGGGGAAGAAAAGAAATGGGTCGCCCATGTCGATGGGTCATCGACGGCCAAAGGATCAGGTCTTGGAATCGTTCTCGTCTCACCCGAAGGCGAGCAACTTGACTTTGCTATTAGAATGGGATTTAAGGCCTCGAATAACAAAGCCGAGTACGAAGCGCTAATCAAGGGAATTCAACTTGCAATTGGCGGAGGAGCGTCGGAAGTCGTAGCGCATTCCGACTCGCAGTTAGTTGTTGGACAAGTGTTGGGAAATTGCGAAATCAAAGAAGAGCGAATGATGAAATATGTCGAAGAAATCCAAAGCCTTGTGCAGGGCCTGAAGAAGTTCGAACTAACGCAAATCCCTCGAGAAGAGAATAAACGAGCAGATTGGCTTGCGAGAATAGCAAGCTCGAATGAGGGGAAGATGGGAAGTTCTATCACTACTATGCACTTAGAAGGAAGCGTGTTGGGCGAAACGATGGAAGTCGAGGAAAAGGATGATTGGAGAAAGCCGATTCACGAACTCCTGCAGGGTCAAGTACCTACGGGAGATAAGCAGGAAGCAGAAAGGGTGGCTCGATATCTGAGCAAGTACTTTGAAGTCGAGGGGGTCATGTTCAAAAAATCGCTGGTCGGACCTCACCTGCGATGCGTCTCCGAAGACGAAGGAAATTTCGTTTTAAAAGAAATACATGAAGGATGTTGCGGAGCACATATAGGATCACGCGCCTTGGCGGGCAAAGCCCTGCGAGCAGGATATTATTGGCCCAAGATGCGAGCGGCGGCAGAGCAGCTGGTTCAGAAGTGCGAAAAATGTCAACGACATGGGCAAATCACTCACATCCCCGCCGAGTACATGACGACCATAAGCACCCCGATCCTCTTCGCGCAATGGGGAATCGATTTGGTAGGACCACTACCGATGGGGACGGGGCAGAGGAAGTTCCTAGTGGTCGCTGTAGACTATTTTACCAAGTGGGTCGAAGCGGAATCATTGGCGAAAATTACGGAGGAAAAGATGATCCAATTCCTGTTTAACAATATCTGTTGCCGATTCGGAGTCCCGAAGGTGCTAATTTCTGACAATGGAACTCAGTTCCAGGGGAAACGAATTCAAGCGTGGTGTCTTGACATGGGAATAAAGCAAAGGTTCGCCTCGGTCGCACACCCCCAGGCTAACGGACAGGTCGAAGTGACTAATCGAACGATTCTCCAAGGATTGAAGAAGAGATTGGAGAAAACATCAGGTGCTTGGGTCGACGAGCTGACAACAGTCCTATGGGCTTATAGGACGACCCCAAGAAGCTCGACAGGCCAGTCGCCATTTCACATGGTTTACGGAATGGATGCACTTCTGCCTATCGAAGTTGGCTTAAATTCGCACCGATCGACATTTTATGAGGAAAGGAAGAATGAAGGGATGGTCGAAGAGGCCCTCGACATGATAGAAGAAGGACGAGAGGAGGCCTGGGTGCGATCCATGGAATATAAGCAGAAGATGCGTGCAGCCTTCGATAGGATGGTCCGTACCAGACGATTTCAGGTTGGAGATCTCGTCCTCAAACGAGCAGATGCTCTAAAACACGTCGGGAAGCTTGAAGCCAACTGGGAAGGACCATACACAGTCACCAAGGTGCTCGAGAGAGGCGCATATGAACTTGAAGATATGGAAGGACGACAACTGCCGCGATCTTGGCATGTTACCCATCTCAAGCGCTTTTATGCTTAAGTAATGTTCTCAAATTTGCTTTTTGTACTGAACCACGATCAAATCATATTCAGTAATGAAATGGATTTTGAACCCTCTTCAGAGATGTCTATATATTTATTTGTTTTCTTACATAATTGTTGGATACACTGAATTTTCCGAAACAACTATATCGCCAACTAATCATGACGACTATAAAAGTCGACTCAAGCAACAAAAGTTGCATGCCTCGAGTGAAATCTCGGCAAGGCTAAAAAGCCCATGACTATAAAAGTCAACTCAAGCAACAAAAGTTGCATGCCTCGAGTGAAATCTCGGCAAGGCTAAAAAGCCCACGACTGTAAAAGTCGACTTAAGCAACAAAAGTTGCATGCCTCGAGTGAAATCTCGGCAAGGCTAAAAAGCCCATGACTATAAAAGTCAACTCAAG